CAATCAACAACATGCATATCTTTGTTTTGTATTCCAAGTAACATAGAATCTTCATAGTCTTGGTTTGCCCAATATCTGAGCTTATTTGAGTTGCTCTCTCAAAAGAGTTGGTCTCGGCGATTGAAAAAAACCTCGCAACATCCTCCAGTCATCAGAACTAACTACTGATCTCACACTATTCAACACGCATAGAAAACGTACATGTCAAGAAGATTGACTTCAATTCCTGCACTCTATCTGAAATGGTCAAATCAAATTACGAACGTCTACACAATGTGAAACACACTTACCTGCGTTAGACATGATTAACATGTGATCAGAGAGAGGTAAAAGCGATTGATTTATGAGGACAAGGAAGCTACGGAAATATTACAACCTCGTGATCAACATAACACACCTTGCTTCCTTGAGTTCACGACGCGCTTAATTTGTTCTGAAAATGTTTTACATGGAAGCACACCGAGCTCCCGAGCCGAATTTTTCACGAATTTTTCTAATCGAAATTTCTGAGAAAACGAAAGGTAACGACTTCGCGCTCGAATGCTTATCCAACATCCTGAACCCTTACGCTATCTTTAGATTCGATTAAAATTGATCTTGCTTCGCTTTTGGTATTTATTAGAATTACATACCACTGTATACACGATGATAGATATACTGAAGCAGGTTGTTCGGGGCATCTCTGCTATTGAGGGTACTGCAAACAACGACTGTCATCAAAATGTCTTCTAAACTGCTGCACTTAGTCTAACCTGGAACACAGAGGTAAGGATTCAACCGATCGAATTTCTTGGGAAAATTCACCCACAGCGAAAGTTCCCTTTTTTCGGCTGAGGCGTAAAACCAAATGATTTTTAGATAACTGTAGAGCACTTTTACAAACGAGGAACTCAACAAGTCGAGAAGCGAAAGACGAATGATCTTCGGATATGTAATCCTGATATTCGCTTAATTAAAATAATCACGTTCTTGACAACAGAAATAAAATTTCCTTACTTTCACGCGATCACGTGTTGAGGTCTTTACCTTACTTTACAGTTGCATTCCTCTGATCCCTATATCTGTTCAGAAGGTAAATCTGATTCCTTGTGTTTAACTTGGTGAGATCGTCGTCATTTTCATGATTGTCCGAAGATAAGTTAAACGGACAAATTTTCCTCAAAAAGGAAACTTGTTTGAGACTCTCAGTCAGTGGATTAGAGTCAAGCGAAGAACCGGGCGAGTTCAAGTCGATGGTCACGATTTCCTGATTCCGCAGCAGCTCTTTCGCTCACTTCCATTAACCGAGAGCGTAACAAAAATTAAGGCCAACATCAGCCCCGCTACAAGAAAAGCGAGATGGGCTTATACCCGTAGGGTGGGGTGGGAGG